TTTGCAATTCCAATAGAAGGTATGACCTTCACTCATCCATATCTTTTTATTTACTTTTACTTTTATCCTCTTCACCTCTTAGCCGCTTGGGCGATCGGTCACGTCTCTGATTACTTTCCTTTTTATCCTCTTCACCAATCGGCTCGTTAGCCGCTTGGGCGATCGGTCACGTCTCTGATTACTTTTCCTTTTCTTTATCCTCTTCACCAAAAGATCGGCTCGTTAGCCACTTGGCGATCGGTCACGTCTCTGATTACTTTTCCTTTTCTTTTATCCTCTTCACCAAAAATCGGCTCGTTAGCCGCCTGGACGATCGGTCACGTCTCTGATTACTTTTCCTTTTCTTTTATCCTCGCTCACCAATCACTGATCGGCTCGTTAGCCGCTTGGCGATCGGTCACGTCTCTGATTACTTTTCCTTTTCTTTTATCCTCTTCACCAAAAGATCGGCTCGTTAGCCGCTTGGCGATCGGTCACGTCTCTGATTACTTTTCCTTTTCTTTTATCCTCTTCACCAAAAGATCGGCTCATAGTCGCTTAAGCGATCGGTCACGTCTCTGATTACTTTTCCTTTTCTTTTATCCTCTTCACCTCTTAGCCGCTTGGGCGATCGGTCACGTCTCTGTCACGCACTGTTGGCAAGTACTGGGCATGCACCGGCTCCTGAATGTACCTGAACCTGCTCCAGTGTTGGTCAAGTCTGGTCTTGAAAGGACTCACTCGGTGCCGTCACAACACTCTCTGGTAGATTGTTCCAAGAGTTCACAACCCTCACTCCGAAAAAGTTTGCCCTCACATTTTTCTGGACTTGCGGCTTCTTCAATCTTGAGCGTGACCCCTTGTGGGGCGAGCGTCCGCCAGCTCCAAGTAGGACACTCGACTGAGTAGTGCACCTTGAGATGCTTATACACCTCTATTAGGTCACTCCTTGCTCGCCTGTAGTATAAGCTAGGCAATTTCAGGCGCTCCAATCTCTCAGGGTTAGGTACTGTGTTGGTATAAACCCTCAGCTAAGCCTCCAGGTCATATGCTACTCCCCTGCTACGTGACAGGGTGAGAGTGAGGGGTCTCGCCGCCACAATACCTTGTTACTAAGTTTAAAACTTCATGATTAACTTGGAGCAGCTCACAGTTAATTATTCACTAACTTTATAATTCTCTCGGTTACTATACTGCTATCCAGCCCTACAGTGAACTATAAGCAGATGTGTACTGTATTGTACTGTACTGTACAGTATTGTAATGTATATTCAAACATGCTCTCCAAAACAAAAGTTTTCATATGAGACGAATGTTATTTTTTAACCTTCAAAGTACAATGGTCTAAGACATGTCGTTATTTTTGCTCTCTCTCTCTCTCTCTCTCTCTCTCTCTCTCTCTCTCTATATATATATATATATATATATATATATATATATATATATATATATATATATATATATATATATATATATATATATATATATATATATATATATATATATATATATATATATATATATATATATATATATGTCTTTCGTCTTTATTCAATTCTTTCAGAGACATCTGAATAAAGACGAAAGCTAAGGTAATCCGTTGTTTCCATTTTCCCGTGATTTTATCAATTTATCTTATCCACGTTTTCATTGTGGACATAGAAATATATATATATATATATATATATATATATATATATATATATATATATATATATATATATATATATATACATACATATATATATATATATGTGTGTGTGTGTGTGTGTGTGTGCTACTTGTATTTATACTTTTTCCAACACAGTACAATATTCTGACACCAATATCCGAAGTGTTGTCAGCAATATTTATCTTATGTGAGTAAACCAATGATGTGATATATTATCTTGTATCAGGAGTGACGTCACATTTATTATATTCAGCAGGGCTGCATCATTGTCTGCCGCATAAAGGAAGTGCCTTATTCTTATCTTTGCTGACAGTTAACAATTAATCTTCAATCTATCAATATATTTATAGTCACTCATGCAGATCACTTGGCAAGATTATACGTGTGTGGTACTATTACTTGTAGTAATAATAATAATTATTATAATTATAATTAACGGTTTATTGAAAAAGTTCAGCAGCCCGAAGGCTGAAAATATAAATTAAACAAAAATGACTTATTACATACAATCTGGGGGCCTCCACATATTATAATATTTTATTTATTTGTTTATTCATTTGGATTATTTTTATTTTCATTCCTTAAAATTCATGTTTATCTATTCCATCACGTAAAAACTATATTCAGCAAGAAGCGTGATAGAAATTAGGCTAGCTACTCCTTGAAATTCATGAATACCTGGTTTTCCTATGAACCGTATATTTTTAATGAATGCTATTGTTTGTGTTGTTAATAATATATTTAGAATTCCACAAACATATATTGATTAAAAATTAACTACATGGAATAACGAAATTGAGATTAAAAAAAAAATAAAATATTTTTTTTATTATCACTTCCATTACGAATGCCATCAGGGTGCTGTGTTCTAATTCCCTCAATATAACTGCAAATGGCTTCAAAATTCCCCAAAGAAGTGTTCAAATTTCAAAATTTTCCCAGGGGGCTTACAGCGCCCCCCGGAACTCCCACATATTTAGGCTCGCTTCACTCGCCACCCCACCCTCCACAAAGAGGCTGCCCATGGGCCTCCACAGGTCTAAATCCGGCACTGGTGTGGGGGTAGTATTAGTGTGTGTGTGTGTGGTAGCATTTGTGTGTGCGTGGTAGTATTTGTGTGTGTGTGTGTGTGTGTGTGTGGTAGTATAAGTCGGAGTTCTTCCCCATCCAAACAGGGGTTAAACAAGGATGTGTACTGGCACCAACTCTTTTCCATTTTCTTGGCTGCCTTCCTTACTCATACCAGTGCCAATTTAACCGGCTGGGTGGACATCGTCTACGGGATGAAAGATCTTTTCAACATAAGACAACTCCAGGCAGGAACAAAGGTGTCGGCAACTTCCATTACTGAACTTCGGTATGCAGACGACCTCACCCTTGTCGCTCACACTGAACACTACCTACAGGAGATCCTGAACACCTACGCAGATGCTTATGCACGCTTCGGCCTTGAGGTGAATGTACGTAAGACTCAAATTCTCTTCCAGCTGCCCCTGGTTCAGCCACACCACCATCCATGCAGCTTAACGGTACTACCCTCTCTAACTTTACCTACTTTCGGTATCTCGTCTCCCACCTGTACACCACTGCAGACATCGATGAAGAGATTCAACATCGGATCAGATGTGCATCTCAGGCCTTTGGCAGACTCCATACCCATGTCTTCAGCTGTAATTATCTACAAAAATTGAATGTGTATCGAGCAGTGGTCCTCCTCACCCTGCTATATGGTAGCGAGACATGGGTCACATACAGGAGGCACCTCAAGGCGCTTGAAAACTTCCACCAACTTAGTCTACGTTCCATCCTCTTGAGTTCGGCGGGAAGACAAGAGAACAAATGCCAGTATTCTCGCTGACACCAACTGTAGGAGCATCGAGGCTACCATTATCCATGAACAACTATGCTGGACTGGCTATGTTACTTTTTCTTTTCTTTTATCCTCTTCACCACTGATCGGCTCGTTAGCCACTTAGGCGATCAGTCACGTCTCTGTTACGAACTGTTGGCAAGTACTGGGCATGCACCGGCTCCTGAATGTACCTGAACCTGCTCCAGTGTTGGTCAAGTCTGGTCTTGAAAGAGCTCACACTCGGTGCCGGCACAACACTTTCTGGCAGATTGTTCCAAGAATTCACAACTCTCACTCCGAAAAAGATTGCCCTTTCAGTTTTCTGGACCTGCGGCTTCTTCAATCTTGAGCTGTGACCCCTTGTAACAGGAGGGTAGGGTGTCCATTAACCATGAACAAAAAAAAAGAGGCAGATCACCCCATTTAGGAACTCAAATTTCAAAAGAATTTCCCGGACACTCCAGCTGTAAAGCGCTTGCTAATCTCACCTCCTCCCTCAAGGGATGGCACCCTTTTTGCACTCTCAGACCTCCATCTGACAGATCCTGTGCACAGCCGTGGTGTGGGGTAGTACTAGTGAGTGTGGTAGTATTAGTGTATGTGGGGGTAAAGACTTTGTTAGTTTCTTGGGGAATAAAACAAATTTCCTTTGTACTTCACAGCAAATATGTACCCAAAAATATAATACAGGTTGACAACTCTTTATCCGAAATTCCGAAAACCGAAAAAAGTATTTGTGGAGCAATTATTTTTATTATTTTTTTTTAATGGGTATTAGCCCACCCGGGCACATGTCACTGACCCACATCGGGACCTGGGGGGTGAAAATGTAATAGTAATAATAATTATAATAATACAGGTAGTAATAATAATGATAATACAGTAATAATAATAACTATTCATAGTAAATAAAATTTTTAATAAAAAATACACAAAAATAAAATAAGAATTACAATAATACTAATACTAATAACAATAATACTGTAATAATGAAATAATAATAATAATAAAGAAATAAAAGAATGAAAAAAAAGATCAAAAGTGAGAAACATGATCTAGACCTATGAATTATTATATATTATTATTATATTTTAGCCCCCAGGCCCCAATGTGAGTCAGTGACCTGCTGTGCCCGGGTGGGCTGATCCCTGTAAAAAAAAAAAAAAAAAATCTGAAATCCGAAAAATTCCAAAAACCGAAATGCATCTGGTCCCAAGGATTTCGGATAAGGGATTGTCAACCTGTACAGCACAGTATGCAGTACCTGTATTATAATCATATTTCTTGCTACACTAATTATGTAACTTCTCAGACTTAATTCACTCATATCTAGTACCGGGTAAACATATTTGGTAGATGCAGCAAACATGGTAATATTAAATAAACAAAACCATCAGAATATAACATGAAATAAGTTAGTGGTCCATCATTTTTGGCTAGAATGATGGGATAGGAATAATTCATGTACTATTGTATAAGGATAATAAAACTTCTTGATTAGAAAGCAAAATATACTAGTTTATTTTTTGCCAATGCAAAATATACTTTGATAGACAAATATTTCCTATACAGTACTTTTCTGTAAATTTCATGCAAAATAAAATTTGGTAATAAGAAAAATCGTTATAGATTATATTTGGACCTTAGATAAAGTGTTCAGGCCTTCCATTATTACAGAAAATCATTTTGCCAATTTATCGACTCCAGTAAATGGATTTGGCTCATCCTGGAAAAATTTCCTGCCTTTGGGAATATATTGGACAGTGGCATTTTTAGAGCAAGTTTATGAGTATCACACTGGAACAGGATTTGCTGTATTTACTCCACAACAAAAGAATGAAGGAAATAATGATTACAAATGGAACCAATAAAGGACAGTCACAGTTAAGAAAACTTTCTTTATAAATCTGTAATTAGTTTACACATGTCCCACACATGATAAATATAACCACCTCTCTAACAGTACTGTACAATACTGTACTTGTATAAAGTAATACAGTGAGCAGAAGACAGCACTGTACTTGTATATCAAACATGCTCAAGGGTTGAAATTAGAACATCCAAATGACACCTCTGATGTAATCAACTAATAAAATGCTCAAGTTTCTCTGTACTAATTTTACCAGTTTAAATTATTTACAATACATCAGTTTTTATAAAATCATTTCACGTGTTTATATTTACACTGTTACACATAGTAGGTAAAGAACTTTTGCTTTCAGATAACTATTTTATTTATACCAGAGCCAAGGTGGTCCATAACTGATCATAATAATGTACACTGTACTCATTCTTCATAGTGTACATTATTATGTAATATTTCAACTTTGAAAGATGTACACCACACACACACACATACATACATCTATGCAGACACATGTTGTCATACACTCTCACAAATGTACAGCATAAAGAGCAGATAACTGGTCTCAAAACAACTTCTGTATATTTTTTTACCAATCACTAAGCAACAACTTCTCTTGTACACATTACAGTCAGTTGTTAAATTCATTATTTTATTACACCTGAAAGTTTGGGCAAAGCAAAAATGTAAATGTATTTACAGTTTCTCAACTGACTTAAAACTTTTTTCAGTAGTATCTACATAAATCAGTACAGGAAAACAAACTTTCTTGTCAAATAAACATGCTATGAAGTAAGACAAAAAAAGCATTTGATACAACCATCTTTACATCAACTTAAAATGCAACATTTATTGGGCCAATATAATAACTGACTGAAGGAAACAGACCAACTACTGTAACCACAATTCTTCAGAGGTCATTTGGAAAACAAGCATTTTGTTTTTTTTTGGATTTAATTATCATATTTAAATACATTAACATATACTGTCCTTCATTATAGGAGGAGAAGGCTTAAAAGGGTGAAAAGAAAATTTTAGTACAGGTACACCACCGATTTTCCGGCACCCTTGGTTCCAAAGCCTTGCCGGATCATCCGTTTTGCCGGACCAACCAAGGTCACGTAATAATAATTCAACAATACACCACTGACCCACTAATTATACACCTCCTGTGTGTCTAAAGCACCATGGACTGCTAGAAACTTAATCTAAATAAATGTTAAATGTAAATTAAACATGAAAAAGCCTTAATTTTGAGCAAGATATTACTGTACACACTTTGTTCTCAAATGCACTACACTAAGGGACAAAAAAATTCTCTTGTGCAAACTATGTGATGTTTATACTCAAATTATTTGTTATTGTGCAAGGATTCCAGCATTTCCCAGCATTGCAAGTTATATTCTGCTAAGTTTAGTCTGTGACATTTTATAAGATAACAAATTTAAGCCGAAAACTACCCTCACCCTGGCTGGGAGAGAGGGAGGGAAGTTAAGTGCCCTTTCGTAATTTTGTCCGGACTAAAGGAGGTGCCGGACCATCAGTTCCCGAAAAATCAGTGGTGTACCTGCATTTCTTCATACAAAATATTGATTGTGTCAAGAATAATACAGTATACAACTCCATTATTGTTTATGACCTGAATTTTTTGAAGAGGTAATGTTGGTGGTCTTTCTTTGATCCCTTTCTCCTTTCGCCGTAAATAGAGTCATCAGCACCTGACATAGATCCCATGTTGCCCATCCGGCGCTGAGAACCAACTCCACGCTCACCAGTAACACCTTCTTCGAACAAATCTGCATCAGATGCAGCCAGGATTTGTTCGATGAGCTGTAATTTATCTTCTCGAGTGGCATAGTGAAGCTGTTCCTCGTTCATGCCCACCATCTGGGCTGGAGTAATCACTTGGTATGCATAACCCTGGTTGATGAGGAAACTCTGCCTCTTGCGTGAGTAACCCATTTCTCGTGTGTCCTGAGAGAGGAGGGCATAAAAGAAGGCATTGAAATTTTCTGCGATGGCACCCTTTTTCGCTCTCAGAATACGACCTAACCTCTGAGCTTCTTGACGACGAGATCCACCCTGAGAAGAGATCTCAATCAAGACATTTGCCTCTGGAATGTCAAATGAGGTGTCTGCCACTCTACTGAAGAAGATTGTGTTAACTTTAGGATTTAACTTGAAGTTCTGAATGATGGTCATCCGCTCTTTCTGTCCAGTCTTTCCACAGATGTAAGGTTTTTGCATAGTTTTAGCATAATGTATTAATGCAAAAACTTCATCAATGAAAACAATGATTTTGTCATTGCGATTCTCATGATATTTTATGAGAAATTCACATGTTCTGAATTTGTTGGGATTCATTGCACAGAGCAACTTGATTTTTTGGTCAGATACTTTCCCCACGAGATATTCCCTATAAAACTCAGGGGTCATAGGGCACCATACCTCAGCACACTGTACCTTGGCAATGAATCCCTCTTTTTGTAGCTCCAGCCAATTGGCTTCATACAATTTAGGACCAATTAAGAAGTTGAGGTCAGCAATCTTATCATCTTCCCTAACAAGAGTTGCAGTTAATCCTAGTTTACAATGTGACTGAACAATTGTTAGAACTCTCCTAAACATCTTGGCAGGTATGGTATGCACTTCATCTAGAACCATTATACCCCATTCCTGTTCCTTTAACCAGTTCATGGTTTGCTCAGCTTCATACGCTCGTTTCTGGTTATGAGAAATCATAGCATAAGTTGTCACCAAGATACCAGCATTGAAAGGCTTGTCCTTAGCATCAGAAGTGAACCTGCAAATCATATCATCTGTAGCGGTGGACCACATCTTAAACTGCTGTTTCCATTGCTCAACTGAAACGCCAGAATTACACAAAACAAGAGCCTTTTTGTTAACTGTACAACAGGCTGTAACTCCCACTAAACTTTTACCAGCGCCACAGGGGAGTACAATGATACCTGATCTTGCACGACCATTTCCAAACATCTTTCTTAAGCTCTTCTCTTGATAGGGCCGTAACACTGCAGATGGTTTGAGATCAATTTTAATGTCCTCATTTACTGTGTCATTTTTAAAATCATATTCAGCCAATAAGGGAAAATCTAGCCCAATGCATGTTTTCTGCAAAATTTCAATTTTGTCTTGATTGACCTCAAACGACAGAGTCTTAAGATTTTTATCATCCTCCTCCTCTTCATCAGCTTTATCAATTTTTTCATAAAAATCAGTGATGTCTTCAGGTACATTTTCCCCTTCCTTGGTCTCCCCATTAGCTGTATCACCATCTGTCTTCCCATCAGGCTTCTGTTCCTCTGAACCTCCTGCCATCTGAGCCTGATGACTTGTAAACATTATAGCTTGGGATTTTTCCTTCTCTGTGCTCACTACTCCTTCACTCGGACTCAGCATACAGTCCTGAATGGCTGGGTGTTTGATGAGCTTCTGAATAACATCTGGGAAGTCACTCTCAACATAATAACGATTTTTCTTCAAGACCAACTTAACTTTCCCATAAGATAATGTACAACTCTGTATAAACTGACAGATTCCAGGTGGTAAGGATGTCTTGCATAATCTCTTAAGATATTCTATTATATCATGGGTCTGTAAACCAACACTTACTGCTGCATAGAGTGAGTACGCAGTCAGTTTGTATTCATGAACATGTTCCGGACGACAAACTGGTTCAGCGATGGTGATGAGAAAGTCTTTAGCGTGTTTATAAACAGGTGAGAAAGATTCCAGAAAGATGTGGCCATTGGTGGCTATCCAAAGGGGGCGAGTCTCATGGTCCTCTCTGAGCTCCATTTGTGATCGATAATCAAAGGCTCCATACTGGTCCTTTGGGGTCACCTGATCTCCACGTTCCTGAAAATCAAATTTGAAGCATTAAATATGGACATTGTAGAAGTCAGTTTTGTCAGCTGCATTAATGTAACATACAAAGCTACATCTGTATCAAACATTCATGAACAAAATGAATGTTAATATGTAATGAAATCATTTCCAACACTAAAATCTTAATAATGTAGCTCACCTATATTCCAACCCCCAAACCATTAGCATATACTGTACAGTACTGTAGTTATAATGAAAAATACTTAATTGTATATTGCCTGCCAAGTCTGTATCCTCACTTAATTATCAAAATATGTCGTCTGCTTATATTAAGATCAATTAATACAAAATAAAACCCACTGTTTAAGCAACAGGTAATTAAGACAAAAACTGATTATATAAAATATAAATGGTAAGACATGATTAAACGTCTATGTCATATACAGTACACTCATTAGGCTTGGTTGCATGTACTGGCTCTAGAATAACCATGACCAGTTCTTGCCACAGTGGAATACTGTACAGAGAATTGGTTGACCGCCTGACTGACTGGTAAGCCGACAACTAGTAGCTAAAGAGCATAAACTGAAATCATTAGTGTAAAAGCATTTCTTCAAAGACAATTAGTTTTTCTAATTCATGTTGCAATGGTCAAATTTCTGGCAAGATATTTTTTTTTACATCAGGGGCTGTTTGCTTCATGGGGAGAGTTAATGCCTGGTGTCATGAGAGAACCTAAAGTTGCCATAGTAACTCAGCCTGTCTTTCCTAACTTGACACCTTCAGCCAGTTGGCAATTGGCTCTTGTGCTGGCCATTCTTGGGGTCTAGAATAGTACACCCTCTGCTGTTTAACATTAGCTGATGTCTGTGTGGCTGAGTTGTTAATTAATCACTGCACAGATGAAAACATTATGCTCTACACTGGAGTAGGAGGAGAATGACAGACACACCCTGGATGCAAACTCTTATGACCAGAGTGAAGTGGTTGTTGAAATATGCACTACTCACTTTGCAATGACCTAATAACTCCCTGCATAAAATGGCAACTCTTAATTCCAGAGATTCTATTGTAAGTGGAGAGTAGAAAACCTTTAGATTAAGTCCTAAGGCTGAGTAACATGGGTCCCCCAGAAAGGTAGTTTTTATCATATGTAAATACCTGCACCGGTTAAGGAAATTCGCTCTTACGGATTTTGTAAATTATGACCAATAAATTCAGGATACAAACCAAAAATTTGCCCTTCCAGAAATTGGGTAAATTTTTAAGTTTTTTTTTTCAATACTATTAGAACAAAAATTCACAGAAATTATAAAATTTATTTCGTGTGGATTTCTTGGTGGTTGCTACAATACTGTACAGGGCAAGGCAGGAGTCAGTAGTGCCCCTCCGTCTCCCTCCCACTTCACCTGATGTAGACACTCAACATCATTTGTGGTTTGTTAAATTCAAGTATTTTGTAAATTTATTATCATATTATATCATAAAATAATCAATGTATGTGTTAAAAAAACTATATATTTTCATTCATAAATGTGCTTGCATTACGTCTTTTTGCCGAAAACATTTCCTTGGGAACTCATCTCCAATACCCTATATAATGGAAGTCAATGGGAAAATTGGTTCCGCGTTACGGAATCACGTTACGGACAAATTGTCAAGGACACATACCTTCTGTAACCTGGGGGATGCCTGTACAGTATTCCTGGATGAAATGCCCTCTCACCTTTACATTAACAATTTCTCTTGTTAAATACGTAACTAAAATCCCAAATTTGATGAAAAGTGTATTTACCTCAACATTATGTTTAGATGCTTGTGGGACACCTTCCAGTTCTGCTCCTTCCTCTTCATCAGAGATTCCATCGTCCCGCCTCCGCTTTTTTCCTTTGTCATAGAATCTATGTTTTTTCCCCATGGTTCCAGCCACAGTCTGAAATGGAGATGATATTTCTAACCAGCACAGTAAAGCCTAAAACTTTAGGCACTTAAAATCTTAAAAGGTAAAAAAAAAAGTAGACAAATAGGCAAGACAAACGGCTAAAAGAGGCACCGTAAAACCATAAAAACGCATTAATTACCGTATTTTACTAACAAAATAATTATACAAATATTATGTATAATATTGCAAAACTATTAGTAAAATAAATGAGTTAACCAATCAATTTGTTGCAAAATAACTAATTCTTATTAATTTTCCTAATTGAGACTTTGCCATTTCTCTAAGAAAAAGTGGAATTTTTTATTATTTATTTTATTTTTTTAACAGGGATCAATCAGCCCACCCGGGTACAGGTCACTGACCCACATTGGGGCCTGTGGGGGCGAAAATGTAATTATTATTATTATTATTATTATTATTATTATTATTATTATTATTATTATTATCATCATCATTATTATTATTATAATAATAATAATATACCTAGTAATAATAATAATAATAATAATACAGGGCTAATAATAATTCATAGGTCTAGGTCGTGTTTCTCACTTTATCTTTTTTTTCCATTCTTGTATTTCTTGATTATTATTATTATTATTATTATTATTATTATTATTATTATTATTTTATTGTTATCATTATTATTTTATTTTTGTGTATTTTTTATTATAAATTTTATTTCCTATGAATTATTATTACATTTTCGCCCCCCAGGCCCCGATGTGGGTCAGTGACCCGTACCCGGGTGGGCTAGTCCCTGTTATATAAAAAAAATAAATAAATAAATAAATAAAATGTTTTGCTCCACTAAAAACTTTAGGTTTTCGGAATTTCGAATAAGGGATTGTCAACCTGTATATGCACAATTTTATACAGGGTACTGAAATTTAAAAAAAAGGCATCCATGGTATTTTCCCTGAACATCCGAGGTCTACTCATAACTGATAAACTTAACCGGTATAAATCCATCAACTGTATCAATCTACAGCATCCCTTGCTATATGAACAATTGAGGTACAAAAATTCGCTAATACATATTTCCTATATAAACACCTATTTCTTGTGTTATGAAAGCTTCCCTTGCTTATTCGAATTTGGGTCCCAGCAAAATTTAAATTGCTGGGGCAGTCACCTTGGGAGACATGCATCTCCCACAAGGCCATGTCTTTCCTTCTGCCATTTATTGTATGTGAAGTGATCTCTCTTTATACTCGTGTAATTGTCCCATCCTTTCGTAATGGCGTCCAAGCGTTCTGCTGAATCTCACACTACTGTACTCGTACTACACCGAAGAAAATACGAAAAACTGTGACTCAGCCATCACTTCCTCACCCTCTTGTGGTGAGCTCAGACTGCCCTCCCATAAGGTAATGGACCAAAGTTATACTGTTTTTAATGTGTTAGGAAATAATTTACAGTAGTTGAGTACTATTATCATTATTTAGGTAGATTAATTGTTGTTCCTGAACCGATTTCATGTTTTTAGGGTATGATATTGGTGTTTCCTTGTCACTGGGGAACTGAACCCTATTTTCCAACATGTTCTTCGATTCGCTATTTCTAACTCTTTTATAGAAATGGCAGAGTAGAAAAGTCAGACTTAAACCAAACAGAGGCTCCAGTAGAAGCTTTTTGTTGATGACACTACTGGACAATTTATATTTAAGTTATAAATTTATTTCTCAATACAGTATTGTGAACCACACCACCAAAAATAATCTTGAGAAATTTAACCAAAAAATTTATGAGAAGTAATTGAAGAAAAAAATCACTTGAAGGTTAGGTTACAGGTAATACTCTGAAACAGTATCACAAGTTGATCACGAAATTTGTCTATACTGTACTGTATTGTAATGTAGAATATAAACACTTTCTTACATAAATAAATTCCCATAAAATTACACAAATTTGCAATTTTTGTCACATAATTGCTGTGATATTTTTCATCTTAAGCCATAATTTATTTCTACCCAATGATGACATTTTCAATGTTTACAAAACCATTCCATACACAAGAATACTTCCAGTAACTCCTCAGCTATGACTCATTAGAGACATGATGAAAGCATCCTAACCTATCCATGTTAGAAATATATATATATCAGGTTAGGTTATGTTGGTTCTTCTTACCTATGATAAATCATACAATGCAGCAGAGGAACCTGCAGCAGGCCTATTGGCCCATGCTGGGCAATCACGTTTACACCCAACCCCTATCGCTCATATATCCGTCCAACCTATATTTGAAGCTACCCAGCGTGTTCGAGTCAGTGGTGATGTTTGGTAACTTGTTCCACTCATCCACTACTCTATTTCCAAACCAATGTTTACCTATCTCGCGCCAAAATCTAAATTTGTTTAATTTAAAACCATTGCAACGAGTTCACTCCTGGTGGGATAGTTTGAGTACCTTTGTTATATCACCTTTGTGTTAATTTTTTCCACAGAAGTTCTTCTCACTATAGTAAGTATTTTAAAAGAGGTAACAGCTTTATATTTTAATTATACTACTGTAATTTGGTCAATTTATAGATTCAACCATGGCTCTTGAGTTGAGCAATTTGTTTTTCCAATGGTTTAGACAATTTTCAGACACTTGGTATTACAGGAATATTATCGTTTACATCATCCAAAGATTTTTAGGATTTTAAGTTTTGAAATCAGGAATTTAAACATCTCTTAACATACTTTTCTTCTATGACATTTTTCCCGCTTGTGATTACTTTAAGAGAAGATCCCAATAAATTATTGGAAAATCTTTGTATTTTTCTAAGTCCTTGTTATTGTTACCACCATCTGAGAGAGCTCCTGTGTGTTAGTGTATTGGTTTCTATGCTCATTATACATGCACAATTGTTCTTTGGACATTGATTGGTGGGTATGATTTTGGATCAACCAATCACAGCTTGGTATAGGCCCCGGCCACCTCAGTCAGAGAAAGCAGCCAGGCAGTACGACATGTGGATGACAAGGAGGATCTCAAGACCCCAATTCGGAGTCTTCCGAGTCTGACTAAGTTAAGGTGTAGGGTTGGGTTGGGTTTTGGATTATTCTGACCATTACTATTGCAAATTACTACTGTTTTTTTTAGATTTTCGGCCATCCAAAACCCTTTATTATTTTTTGCGATTTACTCTGAAAGTAAACATGAACGGGAAAAATATCATAGAAGAAAAGTGTCTTAAAATTGTCTAAACAACTGATTTCAAAACATAAAATCCTAAAAATCGCTGGATGACCTAAAGTCCTAAACGCTAAATTTACCACTTTTCTTCTATGACGTTTCCCTCACAAATTACCTAAAATACCTAACCGGACGGCTCCGCCCCCCTGGAAACCCCAGTATATTTAAGTCATTTGCAAGGGAATTGTCAAAGAAATGTGTCTTAAAATTGTCTAAGCCATCGGAAAAACACATTGCTCAACTCAAGCCGTGGTTGGTCGAAACTACAAATTTACCTATATTTTTTCTCTACTGTATCTAAGTTCATAAATCAACCGTAGTGGGCAGGGCATGAAAGAAGAGGGAATTACAGGGTAAAACGTTAACCAAAATAAGGTTGGTTAGGTCAGGTTCTATGAGGTTCATTATTATTCACTTGCGATGGAAGTGTATAGAATGAGTGTCAAAATGAGATGTATCTATTGCACGTTTTAAAATCTCAGATTCCATGGTTGCACGAAACTAAATTTTACCAAAACATCAACATTATTATTGAAATGAAGCTCAGGAAGAAATGACAGGACTATTGGCACACGTTGATGATAACACATATATATCCTATCTGGACAGAACGCTTTAGTTAGTTTGTTTAATTTAATAAAAACACATAGATATATGCTTTAAGTAACCAGGGATATCATACATAGCACACATAGGTTCCTGTTAATATAGTTTCTGTATATAAAACCAAGAGAGGATCTCACCGAACGTCGTCACTCCAACCCTCGACCTGACTCATTGCGATTTACATTATATAAGTCTTATTTATATTATTTGATTTTATTCACTAAATCAAACAAATACTTTTAAAATTCATGTAATAAAGCATTGACGGATATATCTATTTATTTTTTGTAAAATTAAATATTACAGGGAGGTTTATAACAAGTTGAATCGCATGTTTGTTTACCTTTGGCTCCTCAATGAGAGAATTATTGTGTTGCACCATAACTGTTAACAGGTAGGTGATGCCCTCTGTCTACCTTCACTCACCATAACTGTTAACAGGTAGGTGATGCCCTCTGTCTACCTTCACTCACCATAACTATTAACAGGTAGGTGATGCCCTCTGTCTACCTTCACTCACCATAACTGTTAACAGGTAGGTGATGCCCTCTGTCTACCTTCACTCACCGCCAACTATTAACAGGTAGGTGATGCCCTCTGTCTACCTTCACTCACCATAACTATTAACAGGTAGGTGATGCCCTCTGTCTACCTTCACTCACCATAACTATTAACAGGTAGGTGATGCCCTCTGTCTACCTTCACTCACCATAACTATTAACAGGTAGGTGATGCCCTCTGTCTACCTTCACTCACCATAACTATTAACAGGTAGGTGATGCCCTCTGTCTACCTTCACTTACTCTATTGCACGAGTCAGTTTCTCCTAAATGGTCATTTCCATATAGGATAAAATATAGCCTTGTTGTTGAAATAATAGTTGGTAGATTTGTAGTGTTATGATGAGAATACTTATTGGTTTTACGCCTCCATAGAGTACATAGAGGATGCCTTAACTCTTGGGGGTCTCAGGAGGTTTTAAATTTTATAGTCAATTTTTACTTATGCACCGGTCTTTGTTTGGGTATTAAAAAAACGTTTTTCCGATGATATTTGATGAGTTTCGAACGAAATTGATATTCATTTCCGCCGGAAATCACTAGTTTTTGCCCCCTTCACACAACAATAATGGGGGAAGAACCTGGGAAATCTGGGTTTTTGGGTGGGGGAGAAACCCAACCCAACCCAACCCAGCCCCTTGAGCCCCCGGCCCCCAGTAGGCCTAGCTTAAACTAACCTAAATGTCTCAGTAGTTAAAACAATTGGGGCGAGCCATGTCCGAAAGTAAAATACTTTAGTTAAAAGTGGAAGGACCAGGGATACGTAAGAATTGGATAGAATGATCGTCTTTCTCATAAAACTCAGCTATAAACTTAAAATAATCGTAGGAGCACAAATGACAACCAAACTCCACCCAGGCTGCTTCCTTTTAAAAAAATCAAATGTGATTGGTCGGAAAAAAATTTGCGTGATGATATTGATACATCATTGGTCACGACTGGATGACGTCAGTCAATATTGCTCATGCTTGATGCACAGATAACATCTTCTCAAGGTAAATAAGACATGGCGAGACTTGTGACTGAGTGAATTTAAAAATACAATATTGAAAAATTAATATCTCAGTTATCCTTAATTTCCGGCTGAAATATCATAGAAAAAAAAATGTCTTAGACTTTTCTAAGCATCTAAACATTACGAAATACATATTAATAACAGCGAGAGAAAGACAGGTGCAGAAAGAAAAATTCACCACTTTTATTAGCAATACTGAACTAGCGTTGTGGGTTTTACTCTGGAACATGGACTTGTGATAACTAACAACTCAAGGAAAATTTTGTTTGGAAGAAATTTTTTTCTTACGGTAAAGATTATTTTTTGTTACACCACAGAAACTACTAAAAAAAATAGGCTTTGCAAGTGTAGTTTGGGTTGTTTCAAACGAATTTCAATTTCATGTATGTCACAAATGAGCCATAATGGAGATATGACTCCCCCCTCCCCAATTGCCAACAGTCAAGGTTCAAAGTAGGCAGGGCTATGAAATTGAGGAATATTGTGGGGTAAAATACTAAAAGAACGCCAAACAGACCTTTGAAAATGGTTACCTAACTTATAAAAATCTTAAAACCATAAAAAGCTTACCTTAATCGTGTTTTTGGTGTTTAGTGTGTGATGCCGGTGTTATTTTCGGTATTCAGATGAGGCGGGACCCATAAACTCGAAAGCATTTCTTAAGCTTTTTACAAGTTAGGTAAGGTTTTCAAAGATTTGTTTGGCATTCATTTTAGTATTTTACCCCACTTTTTCCATCTACAGTACTTCAAAGCCCTTCCCACTTTGAACAACCAATATTGTTGTTAGTAATTGGGGTGAGTCATATCGGTTAACATACTTGAAAAATATAAATTTGCCACGGAAACATAATAGAACATATATTTTTTTCTTTCTCCTTATATATTGTACAGTAAATAGAAATATGAAGTTCTGTGGTGTAACTAAAACGAATCTTAACCCTTCTTACCTCAAGAATATACCCCCAAATTTGGAGGAATTTCAAATTTTTGAATTTTGTTTTTCCTCTAGTTTTTATTACCTGTATATACATGCAGTTTCTATCCTGACGACACTTTGGTACAGGGGGGTCTCCGGGACCCGAACGAGTTCTGTTCCTGAGGATGTTCTTAAGTCGGAAATGTACATAAGTCGGAACACATACCCTATGTGCACTGTATCATAGCCCAAGTCCTTTTATACTTCTTGAATATCCACCTCGGCCAACGACGTCACATAATAAGCTCCGCCCATGCGCGTGGGTAGACTTGGTTTATTTACACTTTGAGCACAACCACAAATAGGTTATATTTTTGTTCCATAGCCACAAAAACTAATTTCAGCATTACTATTTCATTCATAGTTCTGGAGTTCAGAATGCAGTTGATGATCTACAGTACAGCATGCCCTGACAATTCGCGGATTTTTAATTTGCGGGCCTCGATTATTTGCAGATGACACCTTGGATGTACCCAAGAATGTCTAAGGGTAGTTTTAAAGTTACTGGCAAACACACATAAAGGGAATATGCATTTCTTTGCACGTAAAAACCCCCGGTCAAATTTGTGATTTTGGCTATTCGGCCATTTTGAGAACCTAACCCCCACAAATTTTAAGGGCATGTTGTACCTTCTTAAATGTCTAAAAAGGTGCTATTTATATTCCTCAACTGTTCATATGTTAGAGGAAATATTAAATATTTTAAAAATTCTATTTTATATCGATGTCAGGAACATGTCTAGTATGGTGTGTCTGTAAGAAGAGCGCTTTGACACTGCAGGATTTTTTTTATTGAGTGATGGGAAATAAGCAGTGAATTCCTAAAGTCAATAAGGTTGTTCTTGTTCAGTGACTGCATTATCACCAGTGCCACAGTTTATTGACATTCGCAATTGAAGAAAATCAACTTTGTGGGAGTGTGATGTCACTTAGCACAAGATGTAAAAAGGTTTACAGACAGAGTTGTAAAAAGTACCAGATTTTGTTACTTAAGTAAAAGTATTGTGACATTGGCAAAATATTACTCCAGTAGAAGTAAAAGAATCCAAATGTTAATGTACTCAAGTAGAAGTAAAAATGTATCTCATTCATAAAATACTGACATCCTGAAAGTAAAAAGTAACAATAAAATTATTAATTGTCTCAAATGTTAAAATTAATCCACAGTAAATTTAAAAAGATTAGTTAACTAAAGACAAAAATAAAAGACAAAGCATTACACATGTTTATTTGCAAATCTTTCTATTGAGATTAATCAAAATTATGGCTGTCCAATCAGGATCTTTTAGGCCTAAATATAAGCCCAGCATGACCTGCCGAAAGAGAATATGTTCAGCCGCTCTTATCCCTACAATCCAACGCAGGGATAGTGAATGGGCTGAAAATATATCCATCCAACACTATGATCACTTTCTTCCTTAAACACACAAGTATCGTCGACGTGGACTTGTGGTCCGCAGACATAATGTTGTCTCTGCTCGCATTAGGATAGGATACAGACCTATCTGGCATGTATCTGAGGTGGAGGATGACCCACACTTCTCTTCCTGTAAACAATGTAATTGTCTCAATGTTAACACCCTTCAACACTCCTGTATTGCCTTGATTGCCCCACAGTCAGGGACCTCCTAACACTGGGAGAGTCACTGACCACTATGTGTCACCACCTACTTATTTGTAATAATTTAGATCTAATTCTTGTATGCCACCCACACTTTGGTGGCTCATAAGTCATAACTCCAATTGTCCTCAAATCATATCAAAATTGTCGCCATATCACAAGTCATAGCTTGTACTACGAGACACTAGTACCAATGTATTCATGTCTGGCGGCATGGCCTTGTGACTAGGTTTGTCGCCCCCTGGGGTGTAATAAATTAATTAAATAATAAATAATAAACCCACCATGACTAATCAGGTGCTCACAAGCAGCAGATGCAGGTACAGTACTAGGGTGTTTAGCTCGAGAGATAAGTCACATCATGTCGGGAAACACCTCAGTAGCTCCATTCCATCCCTGGCCATGCCAAGTAGCTATTAAACTCCTTCAGTTGAGGAGTTTGTGGATGATTGTTGCCTCCATAGTGACCGAGTTTGACTAAGACTCACTGTGAACTGTCCCTCTAATTGGGGTGTGGTTATGGTGACATCACTTTTCGATTCTAATTGATGAGTGGCTGAATTTTTTGCACTACGTAATATCTGGCGGGTGCTGGGGGGGGGGGTCAATGGTTCTTAGCTATTAAAACAGAATTTTAAGTACACTCAGTCTCACACACATATGTATACTGTAGATACAGCCTTTATGTCTAAGATGGAATTATGTAAAGCATTTTAGAATCCCAGCCTCTTTGAAATTCATTTTAGGTACAGGTATATGTAAAGAGCAACTGACATCTAACGGGAAGACCAAGCCCCTGAAGGAAAGGTGGGGGAGAAGAGAGGGGATTCGATGGGAGAGGAGGGATAAGAGGGTAGGTGGGGTGGGTGGTTAAGGTGCTAATGGACACAAGAAGATCAAAGGTAAAGTCCGCTGTCATGGCCACTGCCACCTGACCTGACCTGACGTCACCTCACGAGACCTTTAGGTATGTGACCGTGTGGTGTTTCCCCAGACCGTACCCTTCACGGCTCCACCCATACCATACCCTCCACCCACGCAACTCTTTTACGATGGTTAATAATTAATTAAAACTACACTGGGGTATGCTATAACGAATCTAATTGGTTCTAGAACCTTGTTCGTTATAGCATTCATTCGTTATAGGATTAATCCGTTCCAGGCCCCCAAATACAACCACTTAACACTGAAAAATACAATATAAAATTGTAAAAATTGTAAAAAAGTGCATAAATATGCATCTAAACCCCTGAAATAGAGAATATCATTAATACTTGTAATAAAAAACAATAAATTAGTAAAAAAAAAAAAAATAATGTTCGTTGTAGGAGTTTCGTTCATTATAGCATTCTCAATTTTATAGGTAAAACCGTTCATTATAGGAATATTCGTAGTAGGATCCGTTTGTTATAGCATACCCCACTGTATATTATTTTATTAGTTTAGGCCACAGTGGTTCCCAACCTTTTTTGGCTGCGACCCTAAATTTCCCAACAATACAGTGTCGTGACCCTCAGGCATATAATATATTATATAGCTTGAATGTTAAGCAAAAATTTGTTTGACTATGATAAGTACTATATTTTTTAAATTGTCTGAAGGCCCCTTGCGACCCTACTGAGGACACCCCGTGACCCTGATTTGGGTCGCGACCTGAGGTTGGGAACCGCTGGTTTAGGACATGTAATGAGTAATAAATTTTTTTTTTCAGTTGTATTGGAGTAAAAGTGTTAGAAAACCATACTTAAGTAAAAGTACAAGTACGGTACTAAAATTTTTTAGTACTTTTTATAAAGTAAATATCCAAAAATTTTACTTGAGTACAGTACTTAAGTAAATTTATTTTCAGGGCAGATACTTTACAACTCTGATTAAAGAGACTGTAACTGATCCACCATTCATTGGAAGAACAGGAAATGTGGTGAAGAAATACTTAAGACAACATATAGCGATGCCAGTAACTACAGTATTGAGGACATCTCAAGGAAGAAATACCTGTACAGTACAGTAGTTCATTCTTGTTCTTATACAGTAGTTCATTCTTGTTCTTTGAAACATCACCAGAGGACCAGGAGGCTGCAGATAGGTGCCTATAACATCACACGACAGGACAGCTGAGTATTGCTTGTAAATGTTATACTGTACAGTGTAATACTGTGTGTAGTAGTGTGTGAGTCAGCAGGCTAGCTAGAGTGGCTGAACCACCCACCTGCCAGCAGGGTTCACTGAACTGAATTAACCAAGAAACTGGGTTATCCATTATCTTGAACCTCTACTAAGTCATAGATAATTGAGTGATTACTGTACTGTGTTAATGGTACACAGTTACTTTAGATGTTGACTGCTTTTTGGCCTGCCACCCTTTAATAGATGGCTCAAATGTATTCTCTCAGGAAACCTTGACATTACCAACCAGGACTAATCTAAAGGATTATTAAACTGTGTGTTGAAAGAAAATCTAGTCCAAAAGCTAAGGCTTGCTGGCAAGTTTTACATGACTTTTGCAGTAAAATGGGCATACCAATTCCATACTTAATAATTTGTTACAAGGGGTGTTTTAGAATGGAAAATAAATTGTTGAAAAAATTTAACCAAGTTTTTAAAGGCTTAACAGATTCTTGGAAATTTGTGAAAATATGTATTTTATTCTTTTATTACTAAGTTGGCTGCATCTACTTTATTGTTAATTTTTACAGATGGCATCCCTGAGTCGTGAAAATCAGGTGGAAGCAAATATCTCCAGCACTGAACAGCAAGATGGCGTCACTCTGTACAACATTACCCTGAATGTGGGACCTGTCCAGTGGTCTGTCAAGCAACGTTATAATGCCTTTGTGGAGCTTCATGACAAATTAGTCAGTAACCATGGAGTCGCTCGAGACCTTCTCCCCCCGAAGAAGATCATTGGCAACAAGGATCCTGCATTTATAGAGAAGAGAAGGGCTGATTTAGAACTCTACTTACAGGTGTGTATAGTTATGTAACTTTTAGTATGGCTCATGAAATAGCAGCAAGTGAAGCCATCCCATTTGTGTTGAGGAATTAGAATTCATTAAATTAGGTTACCTGTAATTACACTAAGTTTTGTATTAATTGTATGGGATAAGGTATCCAGTGGCTAGACAGACCACATTATGGCCAGAAGTTAATTACTGTAAATAGAATCATTATTGGCCAGTCTGTCATGTCACTGTACATGAATTTACTGTATGTATTAAGTTTTTGTCACATACATTTCTCAAGTGGTACAAAAATTTTCCAAAACAAATTAACCTCTTAAAAAATCCACTGAATACAGTGTTGAAGACCAGACGGCAGTGCTCTAAAAAAGTGATGGAATATTATAGTTCTCAAATAAGTGAAACTATTCTCCCTGTATAGAGAAATGGGAATGAATTACAGTATATGTTAGATGGTTCAGAAATACAGTGACATAGAGTATTGTACAGTACTGTATTGGGTCATGGTATGGATGATGATAAAATTTGTGAAGTGATTCGGACAAGTGTACAGAGTGTTCGATACTGTAATACAATAGCACAGAGTAAAATGCAGTGGGGCACAATTTTCTATGTAAAAAAAAATATTTAATTGTGATTGTAAGGTTAGATAACCTTTAGTAGCAGGGTAGATTGGAGATGTATTGGGTATGAACCACAGGCACTTAGGACCGGAAGCAATGTGGAAGCTACACAGAAGGGTGTAAGGGAAGGAGTGGTGATATATAAAAAATAAAATATATTAAGTTATAGACTGAAGGAGAAGTATTCTGTATGTTGATGAGTTGACATGATAGTTGAAGTGATAACCTAACCTAACCCTACCATATGTGAAATAATTACCAAATCATTGAAAAATAACCCTCTCTGGCTTGTGTTTCAGCATCATGTTAGGATTGTGATTGATTCTTTAAATAAAGGATTCCCGAACACTGGTTCACACGAGCCCGTTTTGTTGGCTGTCTCTGATGTAGTATAGCCATCGAATGCATCACAAAAATTGTGGTTCGCTCAGATGGGGGAGTTAAAATGTAAACTTGCACGATGGCCACAACTAGGATAAGAGAACAGCAATTGTTAATTGAGAAGTTGAGTTGAATTTTTACCTTATTTACCTAATGGTCACCCACTAGAGGTGGCCATGCCAAAGGAAGGAGGCCAGTGGCCTGTGTAGGATCTCTCCATTGTTCTTGATAATTTTGTCTAGGGCTATTTTGAAGCCCAGTACTGTTCTTTATTACACAGCTTGAGCTGGTAGATATAGACACTTCATGGAGAGGAAGAACTGATTGAGTTAGTTAGTTACTGTAGTTATTTTATTTTTCATTTTTTTATTATTATTCAAGGTTAGGTTGGGAAAAAGCTCATTTCCACAGAAAATTAATTTCACCTTTGGAAAGAGGAGTAAAACAAACTGCAGAAAACATGTTTTTTGTACAGTAGTGCTGTACCATCAAGATCTAAATGCAGTACAGTATTATAATTGTGTTTAATCTTTTCATTTACAATATGAATGGTGCTATGCATATACAGCTGCTCCCCAACTTACAACGGGGTTAGGGACCCAAATCCAGGTCGTAAGTTGAAATGGTCGTAAGTTGAAATGGTCGTAAGTCGAAAATGCTTAAATAATACATAGAAAAAAAAATGGGTGTCTCTTTTTCTTCTCAGCACCACAAAACTCTCACTTTTAAGCTTGCCAGCCATTTTAAAGTGAATTACAAACGAAAATTTTGTCAGGACACAGCTCAATCACTGACGTTGGGACTCGAAAATACGTAATTTGACAAAATTTTGGTACGACTGAGGCGGTCGTATGTCCGGGTGGGCGTATGTCGAGTAGGTCGTAAGTCGAGGAGTAGCTGTATTTTAAGAGTGATTATATTAGTTAAGCTAAATTTCATTATTATTTGACTAATTTCAACAACATACAGACTGGCATCACTGCTTACCTTCTGGACGGGTGGGATGAATATAGTTTATCTCGCTAGTGTCAACAGACATATTAGAAATGGGAAGCAGACTTTCGCTGATTCACACACGACGTCCACCAAATGGGCTGGTCTGTTGTCAGAGAAGGCCGTCAAAACTAGCTAATGTGAACCAGACTTTAGTTTAATTCTGTTGCGTTTGATGACCACCCTTTTTTTTTATTTGTTTTCATATAAAATTTTCTCCTAACCTCAATGGGGGAGCTAACACATGTAGTACAGTACAGTACTCATGATTATTGGCAATTTCTTAAAAAAGGGGGGGGGGAACAAATCTATTTAAGGTACAATTACGGAAAAAGGTTCAGTCAGTCCTCCGTCCCATCCATGAACCTGTGAATCCGAGACATCACACATTGTTTTGCCCATAAATGGTGCACTGGGTAGTGTGATGTCGTGGATTCACAGGTTCATGAGTCAGGGCTAATGGGTGTGACGGAGGACTGACAACTTTTTTCCGTGACTGAACAATGAATACCCAAAACACAAACCTTTAATTCATCGATACTCAAGAGTTGTCTATACTGTATATGGAAAATATAATATTTTTTAATTATAATTTTGACATCTTTTGTGACATCATATGACTTTCATACAGACCATCATCAATTTCATGCACCGTGCACTACCCAGAGAACTGGCAGAATTCCTAGACTTCCATCAGTATGAACTGACACACCTGCTTCAGTCCCTGGCCAGGCATTTCTTCCATGAGGGTGATAAACTGCTGCATGATGACCAGCCAGTGTACTTCACCCCTTTACAAGTATGGACACAGTGAACGCATACATTCGTAAGTCCTCGTTTAACGTTGCCCCCGATAACGTTGTTTCGTCATAACGTCGCTATTCTTTAGATACCCATATAACGTCGTCACTGACTACTTTGTACGGCACATCACCCTCTCTCATTTTGGCGCACTACGCTCTCACCCACGGAGAGTCACAGCTTCCCCAAGTGTCGCCAGTCTTTGTTAAGCTACCACAGCGTTCGTGCGTGTTTAAGAGTTGTTGCTCTTAATACTTTACTCTAACCATTCGAAATGGCTTCCAAGTACCATTCAAGTGCTACTGATGCTAGTGTTGTGAAGAAGCAATGTAAGACCATTAGCCTTGCTACGAAAATGGAGATTTTAAACCGGGAGAAGGAGCCACCTGTAGGGTCTCAATGACTCGCCATCCTCCTCCTCCTCCGCTCCACTACCCACCACACACTCGCTCCACCACCTTCATCCATCAGTGAGTACAGTACAATACAAAATGAATTAGTTTATTTATATACTGTATATATACTATTTTTTATAAAAATGACATTGAATTTCTGTATATTTAATGTATTTTATGGGGCAAAGGAAGGCTGGGGAACGTAACTCCCGTATTTTATCTATTTCTTATGGGGAGATTTGATTCCGCTAACGTTGTTTCCATTAACGTCGCGGTTTTCAGGAACTGAACCACGACGTTAAGCGAGGACTTACTGTACAGTACAGTACTGTGCGTCTTTTCTTTTTTTACTGCACAATTTATGTGATAATTGAATCAGGAAACAAAATTCTATTTAGTCTTTATAAGAAACTGTATTTGTTTCAATTGGATTTTATGAGGTAGGGAGTTTTAATTAATGATTTATTATGTACATGGATACTGAACCCCCCTTGACAGAGCCTACCAGTGTCAGAGGATACAGTCATATAGTGACAGGATAAAGATGTTCTTTACCAATCTCTTGATATGTGAGAGGTGTGGCTGGCCTGCATGTGCCACCATCACCACTCACCACTAATGTATCTCCATAGTTATATGCAAAAATATAATGCAGCTCATACTGGTAATTAAATTTGTATTGAAAAATCTCATTGATATCATGTACCATAAGATGGGGTGACTTCGGTCAGTGTTTGAGGTTTTTAAAGCTGCAGTTTAAATTTAAAGGCTAAAAGCATATGTTAAATATGCTATTGGTGCTTGAACTAATGAGTTATCATTATGTGTCAACATAAATTCAGGAAACTGTATTAATTTTCGATGAACAGGAAATTTATAGGTTTCCAAAGTCACCCTAAAGATGGGATGACTTCAGACGGGTATGGGTTGACTTCAGACAACAGAAAAATGGGCAAAAATCTGCAGCAAGAAAATTACATATAATGTACACTGTACTGTATAGGTCAAAAAGGGAGAAGAGTCCAGAGAAGGGAAAACTTTTCAAGATACATGAAAATAACGTGCTATTTGTTTCTGTTAGGGGCTCTTTTTTTTTAAGTAATACATTAGGAGAGACAGCAAAACAAATTTACCGGTTCACCAGTGACCAGTATGCAATTCTTGTTTTACCTCCAGAGCTGTAGATTACACTTTTTTTATCATTATTCGTTATCAATACAGTATTCTCCTAAAGCTCGCTGTTTTAAAGCTTGCATCCCTCAGAAACTCACAAATTGCCTTGGAAAATAAATAAAATAAATCTGAGGCTGTGTGCCAGGGATCAAGAGGAGTCAACAGTACAGAGCATCATATTTCCCAGGTCATAAGATGCAACCTATAATTAGCAAGGTATATTTTGGGAAAATAATTTTTGCAGATTTAATAGCCTACTGTACAGGTACTGGCAAAACCAAATCACTGGCAATATGCTCTCATGTTTTTCACTATCACTTTATGGACCTATTATCAAACATTTCTCGGTATTATTAATAAAATTTACCAAATTTAATACAAAAGGATATAATTTTACGTTATAGGCACCTACAGTAGACACATTACAAATACTGTACTTATCGGTACCAGGCATGTGCACTAGGAACTGTCCGGTACAGGGATTGTTTACATCCCGTGCACCAGACATTTCAAAGGTATTGTTTTTGCCTTGTCACTACCACAACTATATAACTGTCACTGTGTGGACCTTATGTCCATACAGTGTTATTTCATGTTTATTTATTTTTGTTATTTCATATTTATTATATTGTAAAAGGCATACATAATGTTGTTATACATGCACATATAGCTGTTTAATATATGTATTTTGCACACCTGGGACTGGCATGAAAAACTCACGGATTTTGCTTTCTCACGGGGTCCATTTTACCTAACCCCAGTGAGCTTTAAAGGCATACTGTACATGTACCATGCATACTGCCATTACTGTACAAGTTTTATATCATGAAATCTTGCAAATATGCATGAACAGTAATTGGATTGGGCCTCCCAAGTCATTTTTGAGCTGTCTGAAGTCACCCCAAGTCGAAGAAAATTTTTATAAACCTCCATTTAAGTCACATTTTCATGTATACTGTATTGGATAATCAAGCACCCCAGATTGTTCCTCAATTTTAAAAATAGACATGATCTAATGTTTTTCATTGCAGTATTTATATGACTTCATGTACTTTGATATGCTCCAACCAGAGAAATTTTGCAGTACTGTATACTGTACATTGTACCTGTATTTGAAATTTTTGGAAAAAATTAATTTTGATTAATGACTTCTATTTATTACTTACACTTTAAACTAGCAAAAGATACTCATATATGAAAACTACATAGTTAGGGCAACATTTTATACTGAGAAAACCATGAGTGCTGTAACTGTGTAGCAGCTGTCACCTCTTCAACTTTTTACGAATTGTGTCCGAAACCACCCCGTGTCGAAAGTCACCACATCTTACGTAGTCATCAATAAAGGATTGAAGTATGAAATCCCATTATATAACTGAGGAGAATAATAAACATGCCACCTGGTTTTCCTCCTCTGCCTGTAGGTTAGGTTCTAAACCAGTAAGAAACTTAGAGAGTCAAGGTATGGATCTCCTCCTGTAGCCAAAAAATGGCTTGGAATGTATAAAATCTGTCCAAGATCTTCAACCTCATACCTGAAGTTTACTAATGCTAGAGACAACCACTAGATTAAAGGTTTGAAGATGTTCTTTTACTCTGATTCAACTAAGTGAGGTGCTGCTTGCAGCAGAAATATTGTCTCTGCTGGACAATATATAATTTCATTAAATATGTCAAAACCTCTTCGTAGAGGCAGGCTCTAACAAGGGATATTAAATGGGTAAGCACCTTGAATGTCACAAGTGTCTGTCTGTCAGTCATAAAATGGGATTTCATACTTGAGTCCTTCATTATCATCCCTCACACATAAATTGTATTCCACAGTTGCATGCCATCTCCTTCCGACTCAAAAATCCTCTCCCCACCAACATGGCATCAGAACAAGAGACAGATTTCAGTCATGTGGTTGACTTTGTTTCTCAAGTTCAACATCTGATCATCAAAGGGAGCAGCCAGTCTCTCAGGTACCTACTGTTTTGTTAATACTTCATGTTCTTGACTTTTTCTCTGTGAGTACAAATATTGGCTTACAAAGTCGTTACAAGGATTGTTGCCAATCAGTGATCATGAGAGACAATAATATCTTCTTGGAACAAACTATGTACACTAAACCAGTGTGGAGTTTTTATGTTTATGGCCTGAAGGACTTGGTAAGTGACCACTGAGATTCTAACTTGCTTTGCACCATAGCAGAACCCCCAATTACTGTACCTTAGTGTATGATAGTTCAGTAACAGGATGCATTATTTAATACAGCTCTTTGTCCAACTTATAATTACTGCACCTCTGAACACTCCTTAGCCTTGACCATGAGCTCTCATACTCCATATTCCGGGTCAGGGACTGATTCAAATCCAGCTACACATATAGTCGTTCCCTCTGACCTCACTTTCATGGCTGAGAGCTGGGGTCAGTCACCAGGAGCTTCTCAAGGGTTGTGATCTAGAGCAGCTGGGACTGGAATATGGTACCCTGAGAACCTACAATTATGGCTTGAGGGTACAGTGCTCAGAGGCATGGTGATTATTGAATATTTTGCATCATTTAATATCTTAAAAGACTCATGGTGTGCTCAGCAGAGAGTTGCATTGGCAGCAGAAGCATTGTCCACTTGAATAATGCTTCCTGCATTTTATCTATTACACCCCAAGGCAATCAGGAGCTCTGTTCGGGTTGTTGGGATTTCAGATATCACACGTCAGCCTGTAGCCAGAAATTGGAATTTCATTTTCTAATCCTTCATTTTTACAGAACAAGTAACATCATCCAAAATACCCTCCCCTACACTCTGAATACATTCAAGAATGTTGAGAAGTTGACTCTGAAAAATGCCAGTGTGTCCCAAGTGGATCATCTCGGAGCAGTCAGGAGAACTACCAGATCTTTGGAAGTGAAGAGCAGTGGCATGGTGCAGATGTCAGATATACTACTGTGTGATGCTGTGTATAAGGAAAGTGTTGAAGGCACTGATCCTCACAAATGGATGCTGCTTACTGATGTTGATGTCAGTAGCAACCACATTGCCCATATTGATGACTCAGTTGCTCTAGCACCTAATATTGAGAAGTTGAACTTAAGTTGCAATAAGTTGTCATCTGTGGAGAATCTGACTTTACTTCCTCATTTAGTATCTCTTAATCTTTCTAATAATCTCTTCACCACCTTGGAGGATATGCACACGAAGCTTGGCAATGTGGTTGATCTAGATCTATCACAGAATAATTTAGCTTCTCTTAAAGGCTTAAGTAGACTTTATTCTCTGGCATCACTCAATGTTTCAACCAACACCATATGGGAGATCTCAGAGGTGAGTCATATATCTCGTCTCCCTTGCCTAGAGACTCTCATTATCACAGGTAATCCTGTTGCAACGATAGTGGATTATCGCACTAAAGTACTTGAACTGTTTGGTCAGAGGGCATCAGAGATATGTCTAGACAATGAACGGCCGACTCAGAGAGAGTTGGAATTTGTTGCTGTCCTTCAGGCCATCAGGGCATCAAAAGAGGGACGACTGCCCACCCTCAGTATATCTAGTCCACTTCCTATCTCTACCACCACCATATCTTTTGACCGCCCTGATATGGCCACAGCTGTCAGTGAATCTTCCAATAATAAATAACACATAGGAATGCTTAATATCCTTTTTACAGAAATGATCCTTTATGATCTTAAACTATTTATCAAAGAATGAGAAACTGTCATTCCAAATTTTTCTTAGAAATGTTATTGCATGCACTTCATATAAATTTATATTTATAGCTTAATAATCCTTCAGTTTATTTACTATTGATTAAAGTTCAGTTACAGAAGCAGTAATGTTATGACACAATCATTCATAAGATTTTCAATTTTGGTTAAATTTCTAATTTTCCTAAGGTTTCCTAAACAAAGTGAAATTTATATAAGGTATTATGACAAGTTTAAATGGAGTTGTACTAGGAATAGTTGAGTGACGTGTCTATGGTGGATGTTTACCTAGTCAACTGAGTTTTTGTAGTACCTCCTTCCCACTACTCTAGCTGGCCTTCAGTAGGTGAGCAGCTTGGCAGATGGCACCATGCTAGAAATGGAGTATTGGTTGACTTGATATCAGGTGTACTAGCTGAGTCAACAACCAAGCAGCTCACATACCTCCCCTTCTAAATTGGCTTTGTGATTCTTCGGCTGAAACCAAAGGAAAATGATGGACTTGTCTGTAAGTTGAAGATGGTGACCTGTAGTAGCAGTGAGAGGCACTGGCTGGGTATCCAGGCTCTCATTAGACCTCCATGTGCAGAGGGCAGACTTTGCTTCTAATTTTCTCTTCCTATGGTGATGGTTGTGACTAGGAAGACAGTCACAAGATAAATTTCCATCTAATATATGTCATCAAGACAATGTCATACTTTCATAATTGATTAGTGTAGTAACACAGGTCGCTTGATTGTGAGCTCAGCTAGAACACAATATTACAGGGTCCATACACCATTTTTACACAACTCTTTCATTGAACATGCCAGATACCTTTACTAAACCCCAAAAATTATGGTTCTCTGGTAAAGGTAAACTCTGCCAGGGGGTGATTTAGCAGTATGAGTCTCACAGGTCATTTGTTTCCACCTCTCAGTTAAATAATGATATTTTGTGCTTTAATCCTTCATTTATATGAAAGAATAATTGATGCAGGTAACTGGTTGTAACATAAGACTAATACTAGACAGTTGGATGCATCTCATGAGCAGATATTATTGAGTGTGTTGTAATAGAATATTCACCGCAGTATTACGCTGATTACTAGATATGTAGATTATAGTTTACCATACTTGAAATAATTCTCATTGCTTGTCTGTGCTGAAAGATCTGCTTCCTGCAGTCTACCTTTATAGAGCCCCTTTTTACCCTTCGTAGCTTGACTTACTCTTTGTTAATTAGCTGTGATGATTTCAGTACATCGGGAGCTAATGAGTACGTATTTTTAATCAAAATGAAAATTGCCTGTTGTTTGCATTATCTGTTTATTCTGTTGAAGAATTGTTGATGTTTCACAAATGAGAGTTCTCTTTGTTTAATACAGTACAGTATGTCCAAAAGACGTTTGTGGAAGATACATTTGAATACCGTATGCTGTTGCAATTATGAAAAAGTTAGGAAATTATATCTTCACAAATGTTTATACTTAATAGACAAAATCCTCCCCTCACTCTGCTCATATTTCTTGGAATATGTTCACGGTTTTCCTCCCACAACACACAGGATGTATACTTAATTTCTCTTATAGAGGACCATTCCTCTATCTCATGGTTGGTCTTACTTCACTCCTGCTAACCATGTAAACTCTTTAAAAATTCCAGGATCCATTCTTTTGTTCCACCTCAGAATTATCACCTCTTTAGCAATTACTATCTCTCATTTCTTTATCACTCTTATATTTGTTCTTCCTATTTTGGGTTATGAAACTTTTGGCTCTCAACAGTACAAATCAGTTGCTTGTAACCATCTAAACATCACCCAATCCACATCCTTGCTTTATTTGTGTTAATCTTTGCCTTCCAGTCACCATACCACACCTGCAGGTCTTTGTCAACCCCTGTCACCCTAGGAAGGGGCACAGGATTGGGTTCTTTCTGTCCTTGTATCTGTCTGTGTGACCACCATTGGTGAACATGATGACTTGAACAATATAGGATTGGGTTTTAACCAAAAAGTTAATATGTTTATACTAGTAGATCAATCAAATTCATGGGATAATGTTCCTACAAATTGTATATTAGTTGTGTCTGGTTAAAGTGGGGTTACATTCCAAGGTCCTTAAATATTACCCTAGATTTCTGTACTCCCTTTAGTAATTGCTGTTTCCACCATATAGTCAATGTATTCATGGGCTTTGACTTAAGTGGCCAAAGGTTAATTTTCTGTTCCTGATAGACTGGTGCAGTGAAGCTGGTACAGTATGTGTGCATGCACTGTCAATAGTACAACAGGGAATGTCAGTTATCATAGCAATAGAGCATTTAATCTCTCATTGCTCTGGCTGGGTTTTTTATTCTGGATTGGATGTGAAAAGATATTGCCTAGTGTGACTATTAAATATCACTTGTTTTCTCTGGGCACTCTAGTTTCCTTCTAAACTAACACTGGACCAAGCCACCAGCTTTTATCCCCCAACATCAAGGGGGGAAAAACCCATTCTGTTATAAGGTTGCTGTAATGTCATTTACCAGACAATCAGGCATAGCGCTTTGAGTCTTGCACTGCCAAATAGAAGCATCTCACAAATTCTAGCTAAGTATTGCCAAACCACTATTTCGTGGCCTTTCCTAAGTTAAGTCTTGACATCATTTGATTATTCCTGTATATAAGTGTGTTCACTGTGTGTATTATGTTTGGTGTAATTTATGTTTGATTTATATTTTATGTTAAGTAAACACATGTGAAAACTTGTGGTGTTAAAGTGGGTGAGGTGAAGGTGTGCTGTGTACTCATACATGTGACTGATGGCTTGGGAAGAAGGCAGATGGTTGGCAGGCAGTGGTGGAGCTGATCCTAATTTTTTCTTATGTCTTTAATAAATGAAGGTTCACAAGGTCTCCAGGAATTGAACACAAAAAATTTACTTATACTCAATTATACACTGAACTATAAATATTGTACAACTTATTCATTGACCACCTCTTCCACCACTTGAGTGGAGTTATAGTATATTATTTTCTTCATGTTATACATATTCATACTGTATCATAATTAGATTTCATATTTCAGTAATAATCATAATGTTATGATTTAGTTCTCCATTTGAATGTATGTAAGTTTTTGTCCACTTGTGTGTTCATGTGTGTGTATGTGTACATTTCTGTGCATGGTATATCTTTTTACTGTAATAATTGGCTTCCTTGGCCCTTCCACGCTGTCCTCTGACCCAACTTCTCACCTTTTAACCCGTAAGGTCTGTGGTATACGAGTACATGTATGTTACTAACACATCCGTAGTATTCATTTTCTTACTTTCTTTTATATTGGAAAATGACTTATTTTGATGAGAGAAATCCCTATCTATCTGCTCTTGCTTATGATCAGAGTTAGAGAGGTGCCACTGTACTGTACAGCATGCCCTGATAATTCGCTGATGACACCCTGGATGTACCCAAGAATGTTTAAGAATGGTTTTAAAGTTACTGTACTGGCATTTTTGCAGCCGAGACAGGGAACCATTCGTTCTAGAGACAGTACTTTTTTTTACCTGTTTTGTATGTGTGTGTATGGGAGTGTGTGTGTGTACATACACACACACACACATATATACAATACAGGTAAAAGAAATAATTGTCCTAAGGGCAAACACATGAAGGGAATATACATTTCTTTGCACACAAGTAAAAATGTAACCCCCCTCCCCCCCCATGGTCAGCAAATGTTATCCGTGGATTTGGCTATTCGCAGCCATTTTGAGACCCCCGAATTCTAAGGGCTATTTATTCACTCTTCATTTTCATTACTCTTACACTTCACAACTGTATTGTTCTTACCAATCCTGATTATACAGTACAGGTATATGAAAAAATTAAGTGTTGGGAATTGTTTGAATCTTTTTTATCATTATGGACCCAGTGATCACCCTGTGACTGGAAACTATTAAACCTATGTAATGAAATTTTAACTGTGATGAAAAGATCCCAAGAAAAATGCCCAGAGTTCACTGACTGGAGATGGCTCTTGCACCAAGACAACATGCCCATACTATTTTTACTTGTCAAGAAACTATCAGTAAATTAGACACTGAACTGATAGCCCAAATTATTTCAAGATGGTGAGATTTACTGTATGCTGATATATCATAGTAAGATCTGAATTGTGTTTTTTAATTAGAATTATGGTCTTTTGACCATGGCTTTAAGGAGGTTTTGCCCACCAGTAGGGTTAACTTAGTCATCCACAACATTTGTTTTCATGTATTTATAACTAACGTGCCAGTACAGTAAATCAGGCTACAAGATTTCTTCATCTTGGTTGAAACTACTGTTAGATAGTGTTGAATAAGACAGTTAAGTTTTACCACAATGTACACAACACCCCGAATCAATAATAATAATAATAATCCTAAATTCACTGTTCACACTAAGTCCTCATGATATGGTACAGTACTCATTCCTCCGACACAATCCACATCAGACCAAATCCCTGTGCTGTTTTCCTAAACGATTATTTACATGTGATTAAATTGTAATGCATCTCCATTATTCATTATACACTCATCATAATGGAATGGTCTGCTCAACCACATTCTTTACTTCCAATTTTTCGTTAACTCATTCATCAATACAGTAAACCCTCGATAACTCGGCACATATGGGGCTCTGGCCTTGTCGAGTTATCCCTAATTCCAACTTATCGAGGCATTTCCCCTTCTTACAAAAATACAACAATATCAAATTATCAACCCATATATGTGTACATGTAATTACTAAATGTAAAAAAGTAACACCATTACTGCAGGCAATGAATAAAGCATCATAGTAGGTAACACATATGCATGGTAGGTGACTCAGAGGCATGGTAGGTGACACAGAGGCATGGTAGGTGATGCAGGTGGCCAGATATGCCGAGATTTTCCCTGATAATTTTATATATCTCGACATTTCCCGACTTATACTATAATACATTCCAAGACCATGTCCATGCCGAGTTATATGAAATTCCGAGTTATCAAATGCCGAGTTATCGAGGGTTTACTGTAATTTTCATAACCTTGACAGTGTGGAATCCCTGTTGATAATTATCCCTTTGGGCATATATTTCAACCACTATCGTGTGTATAATTATACCTGCCAATTATATTTTATTTCCATGATAGGTGGATGCAGGTGAGGTAAAATTCCTTGCCATATATGACGTACCAACCCCCCAGATTTAGACGCATTCATCATAGATTTGTTCTTGACATGAAAGGATCTCAATACTACACTGTATAATCCTTTCAGGCATTTTATGTGGCCTGTAAGGTTAAGAAGAACAGGTTCTTTGTGATCCCCAGCCCCCGTTTTATTATTTAGTTGTACAATACGCACACTCGTGGATTTAATGTACTGTTTACATCGAACACAGTGACCTGCAGTGTAGGTTTCCATAAATCAAAATATATTTCATGAATTTACATTTAGATTTACTATTGTAAAGAATGTTTTTTCTTGTTTAGGAGTGGAAAATAACAGCAAAATACGTAATCACAGTACTGTATGACAAATAGCGATTGGTACCTATTATGAAAGGAATTTTTTCCCAGACAAATGGTACAGGTTTTACCGGTGTTCCAAAACACAGAAATTATGTAAATTGTTTAGGAAATTGAAGGTCAGTATATCTGTTGACTTATATTATATTAAGACCATGGTAGGTTGTATGTATTAACTATTTATTGTATTGTTAAAAGAATGTCACATATGCATTTTATATTCTAAAGACAATGTGATCTGTAAATGTTGATGCCTAATTTCTTACAATATTTTGTGAATGTGACTTAAAAGTGTTGCATCTTTCATAAAGGAACTCTTAGAACTTTTTTCTCTCATAATTACAAACACAACAGAGACTGCTTGAAAGTACAGTATACATAGTCTGGATTTACGCGGATTTCCTTTACGCATTTGGTCATTTACGCGGCACCTGGCCAGACCGGCAATTATTAGTTACGCGGTACATTCCATCATTTACACGGGAAGCGGCGCGGTCAGGGTGCACACTAGGTAGCCCAGTCAACAAAACATTACCGAGTTCTTCACCCGCCACCCACCACAGCCGGCCCAAGTCAGTGATAGTGAGGATATGGACTTTGAGGGGTTTGACAAAGAGGCCCTGCAAGCCTCTGTGGTGGATAGTGATACAATTGATACAAGTGATACTGGTGAGGGCCAATAATTTGCCCTCTGCCTCGGAACCAACCCCCCATCCCCGTGTGACCAGCCATCTCTTCCACTAACATAAGTGTTAAAAACCTAATATTATTGATATTTCTCTTAAATATTAATTGTGTGTGCATACCATCATAAAATTAAGATGTTATTTTTACTACAACGTACGTATTGTGTCGGAAAAAGGGTAGTCTGGGGCTGGCCCAGTCTCTATTTCAATTAATCCCATATGTTGTTATTTCGTTTACCCGTTTCTCGTTTTACGCGGACCTCCACGGGTTCAATTGACCGCGTAAATCCAGACTATACTGTACAGTAGTCTCAGTATCGAATATAAGTACCGGTATATTTGTTTTCAAGTACAGTAACCGTGCCATATGTAGAAGGGATTTTCTTTAACAATTATGCATACATATATTGTACACTGTACAGTAATTACAGTAATGATCAAAATTTAATGTTTTTGTTCAGGTACTGTACAGTTGCAGACAAGATTCCCTAAACACATGGCACTCTCTGGCATCTACAGTACTTCTGGATCATATATATAATTTTTTTTTTCTAATAATCACAAAATGGAAAAAAAAAATTTTCCTTAAAGAAAAACCTGAGGAAATACATACCCTGTACATAAAAATTCCAATCCTATCACCTAATGATCCTAAAGTACTTACCTGCCAGATTCTGCCAGGTATCCCAGGAATTTTGTCTGAAACTGTACATGGTACATAATTGTATGTTGCTGCAATGTAGAGGTTCTCAACAAATTAAGACTGGTTGCTTTAACTGGAAATCTTGAAATACAATGTCTTCAAAATTTGTTGTACTGTACATATGTAAACTTTTCTGGAATGTCACTTCTGTTAATATCCTTATGTAAAATTAAAAAATCATTACTAACTAGTATGATGTACTTTTTGTAAATACTGTACAGTAATGCAAAATAAAGAAGAGTATACAGGTAATATAGGTAGGTAGATTAAGAGCTACAAAGTAAAATATTAGGTGCATGAAGAGGGTGTTGGTGAGTGATGCAACACTGATGATACTCACTTGTCAACTGATTATAAACATTCCAGAGTAAACAGGTTGTAAACAAGGTGCCGAATTCACCATTTATTGTCAGAATTAATACTGTTGGGAAGAGAAAATAAATTAATACTGTATGTACTAATGACTGTGATCTGCTTGTTTATGTGGTGAAGCTTCAAAGAATTCTGCTATGGATGTAAGCTTAAGAAGACATTGTGATTACTGTCATTCATCTCGAAGATCAACCTTGTGGCTAACTTTGAATCTGGATTTTTAGGATCACTTGAAGAATCTCCACTCCAGCATATTTTTCAAGATTAATCACCCTAATGCTAACCTAATCTAACCTTACTTAACCTAAACTAACCTCATTCCCCAAATAGCACGAGGGTGGTTAATCTTTAGGTGAAATAAGGTGAGATGGAGGTTCTTCAGGTGATCCAAATATTACTTCTGAATATGATCTTTATGAAATGTGAATTACTGTTCCCAGTACATGTTTTGAGGGCCTAAAATTGATACATTTCCCATCCAATTTTAGTTGATCATAATTCATGTTTCAGTTCACCTAAAAAATCTCCAACCCACCCTAATGCTATTTAGGAGGATGAGGTTAGGTTAGGTTTGTGAACGGGTGGTTAATCTTGGGCAACCTGTGGTGTAATGGTCAGCATGTTTGCCTCGCAAGCGAGAGGACCCGGGTTCGATCCCCGGGCAGGGTGAAACTATGGGTAAGTTTCTTTATGCCATTTGCCTCAGTCTACCCAGCAGTAATTGGGAAACCTGGATGTTAATTGATTTGTGGATCGTATTCTGGGGTAATGGTTAGCCAGTGCAGTTGACAAGTTGTCCGGTCTTCTCGGACTATTCCTTGACACTGGGTTATGCAACTCGTTAACTTAGGGTGTGGTTGTTGTGTTGGCGACAGCTTCTACACCTTAAACAAATTCACGCCTTGGTGGCCCTTGGGCTGGCCATCCTCGTCACATGAGGGGCAACCATTATTATTAGGTAAAATAAGCTGGTTTGGAGATTTTTCAGGTGATCCCATGTTTCGTAACCAGTACAGAATTTAAGTGTGATATTTTTCATTACATTAAAAGGATCTCTTTTTTTTTTATAATAATCAAGGCTTCTCGGCCTGTTTCTGTGCAGTTTTGTGGCTGGCTATTGAGTGTTGGTGAGATTCGCACAGACGTAGGCTGAGTTGGCTTGAGCATGCATACTTGTACAGAGAAATGAGGAGACTAATTGGGTCAAGGCATGAGTTTGAATGTGGAGGGGAGGAGAGCTAGTGATGGCCATGAATGACAAGGGGAAAGGTTGTAGGAAATTACCTCTGAGAAAACCTGA